GATAGGAAGCCTGGTCAAGGAGATAGAACTCCTATAGACTATAGCAACTCCCCCTCCCCGACCCTCCGAGCGACCTTGGTGCTGGACTGAGTACCCAGGCGGACACAGCTGGGAGAGGGGAACACCACCCTCCTCTCCCACCCAGGTCTCAGTAATGCATGCCAGGTCAGCCCCCTCATCCAGAATTACATCATGGATGAGGGCAGTTTTATTTTGTACTGACCTGGCGTTCATCAACAGCACCGTGTGGCCCAAGGGTTTGCTGATATGGTCGCCTGATACCATCTGGTTGGGGGTAGAACTAGAAGAGGGGATAGATGTAAGATATCTAACCTCTCTTCTCCCACGCGGGCGTGTTCTACCCCCACCGCCATTCCTTCCCCTACCCAGCACCACCTCAATGGCTGCCCCCTCCAACGCCCTCCCCCCTTCCTGTTCCATCAGGTCCACTGTGGGTCTCTATGCAACCTGATGGCAATTAGTAATACTAACAGTTAAAACAATTATTAGTTAATTAAAATTATTATCCTCCAACGCCCTCCCCCCTTCCTGTTCCATTAGATCCGCTGTGGGTCTCTTCTTAATTGATGGCAGTTAATAACAATTTAAAATATTTAAAACATATATAAAATAAAACATCATGATCTCAGTCTCTATATCACAGGATACTCTGTTCTGTGAAAAGCGTTAATCTATGTGTTCATGAGATTTAAAGTTACTTCATCACAGTGGTTTGTTAGTAAGATAAATAGCTACCCTGGAGAGCTTGATATCTGAAGGGATCATCATAACAAAGGTTACAACAAACTTTCTATTGAGGCATCCAGCAAAGCTAGTCCTGTTAAGCTTTTGGTGATGGTTTTATTATCAAAAGATAAAAGTTTCTATAGGAAGAAGGGACATGTTTATTGTAACTGCTAGGAATGAGAATTCTGGATTTTTTGGACTCTAGGAATTCCCTAGGCAGAATTCTGGGAGCTTCAGCCCAGAAACAGAAGTTTGCAGATCAGCTTTTCTTGCCTCCCCACGTGCCTTGTTCAGCCTGTATTTACTTTCAAAACCAGGGAAACTGCCTCAATGTTTCCTAGAAGGTATAGATATTTCTGATAAGTTTATTTATTATTTTTATTTATTTAAACAAATAACAATCCCTTAAAAGAATCCAGGGCAGTTTACATCATTAAAAGACAATATTTAAAGCTAAAAGTAGTAAGTATACAAATACTAAAAGGGATCAAACCAATACTACTCTAAGAAATGGCAAACAAGAACACAAAAAACACATTCAAAACAGTGCAGCACAGCAATCCTTTTAGAGCCTCCACTTGGGCAGCCAGTCACTGAGGGAAAGCTTGTCTGAAGAAAAAGGTATTTTCCTGCTTGTGGAAGGACAGCAAAGATGGGGCCAGTCTGGTCTCCTGTGGGAGGGAGTTCCAGAGTCTGGGAGCAGCAAAAGAGAAGGCCCTTTCCTGTGAACTCACCAAATCCACCTGTGTCAATGGTGGACAGAGAGAAAAGCCTCCCCTGATGATCTTAACACCCAAACAGGCTCTTAATGAGAGATGCGGTCCTTGAGATAGCTTGGACTCGAGCTGTGTAGGGCTTTATAGGTTAGAGCCAAGACTTTAAATTGTGCCTGAAAATGGGTCAGTAGCCAGTGGAGCTACTGTAACAAGGGGTTATGTGATCCCTGTAACCAACCCTAGAGAACATATATTTTGACCTGCTGTTAACAGTAATCCAGTCAGAATATAATTAAGGCATGTGTCACTGTAGCCAGATCAGATTTAGTTCTTTGGGAGGCAGCCTCTAATACAGCCTAATGAGCAGTGAGACTATGATTCCTAGAAAGATCTACATTTGTCAGGAAACCCTGTTTCTAGGGTATGCCTACCAGATTTCTGTCTGGAAAATTCCTGGAGAATTCTTGGTGAAAAAGTAAAAAAGAAAAGAAAAAAAGAAAAACCCAAAAGCATCAATTCCCGTAACTCCAGTGCTTTTAATAGTCTATGAACAGAATGAAGGCCATCCTAATTTAAAGGTGGATGACAGAATATGAAAGATGCTTATTAAGAAAACAGACTTCTCTAAACTTTTCTATTCCCGGTATAGTGTAGTAGATAGAGTAAGGGACTGGGACTAGAGAACAGAGTTTGAATCCCTTGCTCAGCCACTGGGGGAGTAGAGCTGGTAAAATCACTCCTTAAATGTCTTTCTTGAAAGCTCTAGGACAGCAATGGCAAACCTATGGCACGCATGTCACAGCTGGCATGCAGAGCCCTTTCTGCCAGCATGTGAGCCACAAGTCGCCGGATTGCTACTCCCCCTCCCGTACAGCCAAATCATCAGGTAGCTCTGGAGTGGGGTCCCGAGGCGCCTTCGTGCCTGGGATTCCCCCTTCCACCACCAGTTCCAGTTCTGTCGCCACTACGGCATACTGCCCGCTAGTTTTTTGGTGTTTTGTTTTGTTTTGTGTTTCTTTTTCCCCCAGTTTGGGCACACGAGCCCAAAAAGGTTCGCCGCCAGTGCTCTAGGATCATTATAAGTCAGCTCCAACTTGGATGGCACAAAACACACACACAACACACGCAAACCTTTCTATGGTAAAACTTAAAATTCTGTGACGTGGGCTTCAGTAACAGATTGAGAATGCTCATGTGAAGTGGATGGGGTTGTCAGTGTCCAATTTCCAGAGTGTATTTGGATAATGCTGCTGTGATGACAGTGCTTGGGCTACAGGCATGCACGTGTGTTTTCTCCAGACTGTACAGACTTAAAAGTGCAGTCTTTGATGTTTTGGGTAGGCACAAGCCCTTCTCAGGTTCTCTCCTTATATTTTGTAGGTTCTCCAGATTGGCTTGAGGTTACTGTTGGAAAGGAAGGTATTCAGGACAGAGGACAACCCATTGGAAATGGCTTTCTGCTTTCAGGGGCATTATATTGCTGATACTAAATTTTGGTAGTGTCTCAGCGGCTATTCCTTTAACCTAAACTAATGGTTACAGATGATCGTTTGTTCTGTGGCTATAGCGCAGAGATATCTGGTCTGTCTTGCTACTGGCTCTCATTCCCGAGTCCTGGGGATGATTAGAAAAGACCTTCGCAGCCAAAGGCCTCTAATGGGACAATGGAATACCTGATACTTTGTGAGGGACTGGCAACTGGAGGAGCATGGCTAGTGAACTTGCGGAGTTGAGATGTTTCAACGATGGATTGGAAAGTGTTGGACATAGATATGCTCATTATAGCTTGTTTGTGTGGAAGATATAAATCAGATGAATGATTTATGGTCCTTCAAATGTTGCTAGACTTTAGCTCTCATTAGCCCTAGCTGGCAAACACCAGTGATGAGGGGTCATGGCAGTAGGGAGTCAGCAGCACCTAAAGGGCCACATGTTCTCCCTCCCTCTATGGCTGTAATTCTTAACTTTTTGTCATCATGACTTCCTGTTCTGGTCTGATTTGGTCTTTGTGAACTGTTGCACTTAACATACAGCTGCGGAAAAAGTTTTTGTGTCCATGTGCTGCAACAGTATACATGTTCACTAGACAGTTTAGATTTCAAAAACATTGCATCTTCATGCACTGTATACAAACTGGGCGACTATTGAAAACAGCTACAAAAATAGCACCAAAAATCTCAGAAGGAACAAATGCAAGAAACTGGACTTGATTTACTCAGACGTATGGACTCCTTAATCAGTTATGATGTAGCTACAGTAAACAGTGTACCTGGAGCAGTTCGATGTATGCTCAGGCTAAATAGAGTTGGGGGGGATGAAATACAGTGCCTGATTAAAAGGAAGGCTTTGGGGCCACTGCTGGCATTCAGTCTACACCACTGCATGGGGGCCTCAGCTGAAGAAGTCAGCAGAGTAAGCATCCATTCAGTCTCGAGAGGCTATGGTAACATGCTCTGAACAGAGGTCTTGGAACAGAAGAAGTCAGCAAGATATCTAAAAATCCACACAAGTACTTGATTGTGCTGTGTTTCTTTTATTAATTTTAAAATGTTCACAGGCAAGAAAATGGAAGATCCATAGAGAGATCACACAAAGAGCATTGTATGTACTTTCCCTCTAATAGTTTGACTTATTTCTGCAGAAGAAACCCAATCCAGAAGGTGCACATGCAAACTGAGAAATATATCTTGTTACCCCTGAACTGCATTTAATGATAGTGTAGCCGAAATGCTCCAGTAAGTTGGAATGGATCACACTTGTAATAATAGTAAGATGATTCAGGATTAAAATTGGCGGAGAGAGATGTGAGAAGCAATGGAGCAGCATGAGAAGGAAGGGCTAGAAGAATTATTAGCATGGTGAGGTGGGCAAGAGATATGATTGACAAGCAAGTAGAAGGCGACAGGATCAGAGAGAAGGAATCTGTCTCTTTGGACCTTGGACTGTCAGGAAGCATAAGAAATAGTGAAAACCAACTTACATTCTTCAGGGAATGATGAAAAGGCAACCTAATTGATCTTATACATATCATGTCTCAAAGAGAGTACTCATCATCTCCACAAAGACTGGGATTCTTGAAAGGTAAAGTTAAACTTTCCAAAACTGCAAGTGGCAAACTGCTAGGAAGCAAAATCAGGGCAACTCAAAGACAGAAAACCTAGATTCTTGACTAGTTTCGTGGCATTGTCCTGGAGAAACAACACCATCCATGTTCTCAAGGCCCAGGAATGGTATGGTACATCTGGGTATGGGTCATCTTGCCACAGGTAGGCCAACAGGTAAACATTCCACCACCACAAGTTCCATTGTTCATTTCTTAGTATGCAGCCATCTTGCTCCACTGGATACTGCTGAAGAAAGGATGTGACTTGATCCTGTTCACACCATCTTTTCCAGAGCCCAAACGTTGTTTGGGATCATACTGCAGCAGCTGGAAAGGGAAAAAAGATGTAGGATAGGTCAAATTTCCAATATACAGGAAGCAGCCTGTTTCTTTGAGCCTGTCTTCCCTCCCTCGTGTCAGATGGACAGCGGCCTCACCTCGGTCAGCAGGGCAGAAGCAGACTGACTGAGCTTTTCCGGAAGATGGATCTGTGTATGGGGATGAATCCCTGAGGGGTGATTCTGGGATAAAGACTGAAAGAGAAAATGGAGCTCCTTAGAAACTAGTTTATCCTGCAGCAAAGTGTGTTCTTGTTGAACCTAATAGTCTGAACAGTGTGATGCCATGCCACTGCAAAAATAGTAGCAGAAGATTGTGCATTTCCAACAATACATATTCTTTCAAAAATAATATTAGACAAAGTCTAGTAATGTACAAAATAAATTTATATGTTGCCTTTCCTACAGTGCACTCAAGGCAGTGTATACAGATTTTGTCTCCATTTAAGGCCTAAGAGGCTGGTCAGGCTGAGAGAATGTGACGTGGTCAAAGGCAATCCAGTGAAGTTTCAATTTCACGGTTCAATACAACTAGAATTTCCCATCAGTTTTAACAATACTATGCTGCCTCATAACAATCATTACTACAGATTTTGCCTGGCATCACTATAGATGTTACAATTCACATGTTGCTGTGTCTGTATCTTGCCTTCAGCTTTTCTGTATGAGATAGCCTTTCTAAACATAATCAAAAATGTTGGGCTACTTACCATTCCACTGAGTAACTCATATAGCAGTGCCCCAAAGCTCCACCAGTCACAGGCTTCCGTTAGTTCAGAAATGCCACCCACCTCTGTAAAGAAAATGACATGAACCACAAAGTAGGCAGACTCTAGAAAAACAAGGAAGAGAGCTCTCTTCTCCTGTTGTAATAGTCTGGACAAAGGTTATAAACAGTTGCATTGGCAGCATAAGACTGGTTTCTCAGCTTCAAGCTGTGGAGAGGAATATATTACCGTAGCTGTAGAGGGTGAGAAAAGAGGGGATAATTTTCCTCTCACCTGGAGCACAGTATAAATCTTCCAATGCCTGGCTGCAGTACTGTGGTTCTACCTCGCTCCACTGGCCAAAATAGGTCAGACGAATGTGACCTATAAGTAATCAAGATAAATTATGCAAAACCAAGTACAACAGCATCAGAAATCCTGCCCATATTTCAGGGTGTTGCTTTTTTTTAACCCTTACCTACTGCTTCATTTGGAGCTTTGCAAAACCACTTCAAAAAAGATGAATCTCAGGATTATAGAAGTGACTTCCTTCCACTTAAAAACTTAAAACTCTGTTTGATCTACAAATCTCACACTGCCCCTATGTCTGTATCTTTGGTGCCTGCTATTTAGTAAATAGGAAAACAAGGATAAGGCACAGCCATTGCAAAAGTGTAAATATTTTTCTGGATAAATACAGTTGAAGTGACTTCAGCAATGAAAATAACCCAATCAAACTATGTTCTGAGAAATTATATAGAGCTGAACCAGGTAATGGCAAACATCTAATTTTGAGGGCTCCATACCTGGACACCTGAAAATTTGAATACAATTTTGCTAGCAACAAGCAGCAGCATTTTAAGTGAAGATGAGGGATGGTTTTTGGTTGTTATTTTTAAATCTAATGTTCTCTTAATTATCTATTCAAGACTAAATTACCATCAGATATTTTGAAATGCAATAGCACTTTAACAATAGCTGAAATCCTATTGGTTAACTGCACACCTGGAAGACAAACAGTGTGGCTTTCAGCGCCTTTCGACTGGCAATTAATGTGTCTCCACTGGGATCCTTGAGCTTGCGCCAAGCCAGTGGGCATATGTACCATTGGAAGTTCCAGCAGCATCTTGTCAATTCACAGAATTCCAGCCACTGTTCTTGGGGAAAATAGACTTCTCTGCAAGCTACTGTAAAGACTGCACCTATGCTCAGAAGGGAGAGAAGCTGTGAGTGGGGGGTGATGGCATCAGCCCTGTTACTCAAAAAGTCCCCAGGGCTTGAGCACTGTTTCCATTGCATTGCTTATGGGCAACAAGCCTCAAGGACAGGAGTGTTGCTCCAGCAAAGCTAAATTGTGCTAAAGTAGGAACTGACACAGGCTTCAACTTTTTTTAACCTACAAAGATCATGTCCTTTTCAAACTTGTCTATCCCAATAATTTTATTTGAAATGCTATGACTAAAAAATGGCATTTGTGAATTATTTTTTTCCCTACATCCCTTCTTATGTTACCTTATATAATATTCAATATACCTTTCCGAATTACTTACACATCTCCCCTGAAATACTAATAAGCTTCCCTATGGAGCATACCTTTCTTTGTTTAATAATCAGTGTCTTGTTACAGAGAGAAACATACCATCAACATCTAGCAGCAAGTTTCGTGGGTTGAGGTCCTGGCATAATACCCCTTGTTGGTGGAGTCCTTCCAAAGCTAAAACCAGTTCTGCAGCCCAGCTTTGGACCTGATCTTCATTTACATCCCAGGCTGCAGCACCATGTCTTGGGACAGTCTGATGTTCTGGAGGCCCGTATTGTTCTGGTAACAGTTGACTTTTATGTTCCTTGCTATCAAGTACCTTTTCTTGCTCAGAGCTTCCTCTTCTCAAGGATGGCATCTCCGGTTGGTTCTCCCTGCATTGTTTCTGCAGAGGTGTCCTAGGGCGCACCGGACTCTGTCGTGGGAGAGATGCTGGCTGCTGTGTACACCTGGGCCCTTTGCCATATTGAGTTTCTGTCTTTGGCGAGTTGCTTCCTCTCAGGGTCTGCAGGACAGAGTGGTTAAATCTCTCGCCTGTTGCCAGCTTTGGTTCCTGCTGAGTGGCAGCTTCCTTAGTCACATGGCTGTTGCCATCCGTGGTGATAAGCGAGTCACATGACCGGAAAGTCAGCTGTTGTTTGACCAAGTAGTTGTGTCCTCGAGGTACTGATTTGAAATCAGGTTTTGTGGTACCAGACAAAGAGTATATGGCATTTATATCCTTCCGTCCAGTATCTCCCCCTAGCCCAGAGGGAGGTCCAAGACAGCCCTTGCAGTCAGTCACTGCTCTGGCATGGGTGTGATTGGGTGACTGCTTCTGAGGCAAGGAACGGTCTGTCCTTCTCAACAGAGGGTGATTTACAGAGGTGGGGACCCGGCCGATATGACTGTCAGAGCAGACGCTCCAGTTCTGATGGGACATGGCATCTGCTTCTTGGGGGTTTTCTCTGGTGAGTTTTTCCTCATTATGCCCCACAGATGAGCTGAGTTTTGGAGTCGAGGTATGAGAGCTGCTAGAAGCATAATTGTGCTGGAAGCCGGTCTCTGAGCGAAGATGTGACCAGAGAGGCCCCCCTGAGGGAAAAGAAAGAAGGTGCATGAATTATTTAAACTCCCTGATGGCCCAATGCCAGGCTGTAGACGTAAAGACTGGAGAACAGACAGAAGGAATCTTCAGACTCTTTCCCACTAAACCAACTAGGAATTGTCTTTTCATGTAAGGTTATTAAAAGTTTGCATCTTCCAAATCTCATGACACATGTAGAAAATTAAGTGCAATTTCAACTATTTGCTAAACTACTATTACCCCACCAGTCAGTCTAGCAAGAGCCATTAATTGCCTAGTCCATTCTTCCCCAGTCTGGCTCCCTCCAGGTATTTTCGGCTCAATTCCCACCATCCCCAGCTAGCTGGACCACTGAGGGTGACTGATCTAAATTCAGAATCACTTTGGATCTCACCACCAAAACATTCCTGCAGGGAGGAGACATCTAAGTAGAGATGGGGAAACTTTAGTCCTCCAGGGACTGGTAAAGAATTCCCATTGTATCTTACCATTGATCTGGCTGGCTAGAGCAAATGGGAACCGAGGTTTAGCAATGTGTGGGGAGTGAGCACAGGTCTTCCACACTCGATCAAAAATGTCTGGCAAGAAACCGCCTCCCCAGTTCCCTCAAGCAAAATAAAAGGAATGGCCCACCAATACAAATAAAAACAAAATCCTTCAGAACAAATTGTTGCAGTCCATGAGGCTAGAATTCAGAAACCTCATCTACTACAAAGCCAGTGCTCGGTGGTGCAATCAAGGACACTTCTTTCTATGGACTAGTTTTGATATTATACATCCTACATGATGCAGACTCTGGCAGACACTCACCAGTGTTTTGTATATATCTTTTTCACATGCCTTTCCAACTTCCATTAGCGTTTTTTTTACAAAGTTCTGACTTAGCCACATGAGGACTGGAGTGCAACTACCTGATTAACAGAATTGACTTAAAAGGAGCCAGACATTCGTTCGTGGTAGCAGGTACTCAGTTTCAAGCTACTGCAACTTGTTTGCTTTAGATGCAAACAGACGCAAGGATCCTACCCCACAGAGACGCACACAAGTTGCCAAGGTCTTGGAAGAGAAAATTCAGGGGTTGGGAACAGAGCTTGGGGCAGTTATCTGTTAAAGCAGCTAATCTCTGGCAGGCTTAGGCTGTGGAAGTGCTGCTACATCAATGGAGTGACACTTCTGCCCCAGGGAGGAAGCCCACGGTAGGCTGGTGGATAGAACTACCTGCATCTATTTCCCACCAGAAGCATTCCAGCTGCAGTAAGGATTTTAAAAAGTGCCATCCTGGGGGTATGTCTGAGGAGGCTTCAGATGAGGGATGGGCAGCATGTATTCCTCTGGTCACCCTGAACCATTCAGTTAAAAAAAAGGCAAAGGAAGAAGAAAATGTTTTTTTTCTATTCCTGGCAGCCTTCATAAGTGGCAGTGTTTTTTTTTTTTACAGTAGGAGCTTCAGAGAGGACCTCCCAAGACCCCCCCAAAAGAAAGTTGAAGTAAGTGTATAGGTCTCCCTGTTTAGATTTGTTTTTAAATGGCCATTTCTAGGCCTGTTAAGTCAACACGGTAGAATCTGGGGACAGGAATTTGGCCCTCAAGTTCTTCAAAGTTCTCAAACCCTCCTTTAGATCAGCAATTCCCACGTCCTCCATTTCTCCAACTTGTCCCTGATAAGAGAGAAAACTACTCAAGCCTTGGGGATGGTTTACTCCTTTGCACACACACACTCATTTGGTGTCACATGGAGGAGAAAATATTTTACAAGTTCACAGCATGATGGTGAGGAAAAATCTGCTTCTCATCCACCCACCCCAATATAGTATGTGTGCTGGGCAGGGCAAAAGTGGCCCCAGTACCACAGGTTCTCTGTATTCCTATGAGATTGCTGAATAACTTGGTTCTTTCATCTTCATGGGAAGCATCTGGATCTGGCTAGTATTGGAGACTACACTGAACACCTCAAAGAACTACTTGGATCATAAATGCAAATTTCTCTGTTTCTGTATGTTCATGAGTCTACAGTTGCTCCAGGGGCATTTTGAGCCCCCAGTATACTTGGACCACTTTAATACCTCAATTTTAAAAAATGGGGGTCCAGTAAGTCTTTATGATGCATGGGGGCAATGTTGCCATGTCTTGAGGTCTCCCCAGGACCATCCATATCCCCCTGAATTTTTATAATATAAATTATAGCCACTAGGGGCATTTTAGTTGAAACCCTCATTTCTTACAAGTAAAAAAAGGCAGGTTGAGAGTTGTGGCAGCAGCTCTTCTAGATCCAGGCATTCTAGATCCAGGAACAGGTATCTGTAACCCCCAAAACTCTAGAGTTTGCTCCTCCCAGTCGACATCTTCCACTCTTTTCTCATGCTTGCCTTATTGTTGTTGTTGTTTAGTCCTTTAGTCATGTCCGGGTCTTCGCGACCCCATGGACCAGAGCACGCCAGGCCCTCCTGTCTTCCACTGCCTCCCGGAGTTGGGTCAAATTCACGTTGGTAGCTTCAGTGACAATGTCCAGCCACCTCGTCCACTGTCGTCCCCTTCTCCTCTTGCCCTCACACTTTCCCAGCATCAGGGTCTTTCCCAGGGAGTCTTCTCTTCTCATGAGATGGCCAAAGTATTGGAGCCTCAGCTTCAGGATCTGTCCTTCCAGTGCTTTATAAGCAATCTTAATTCAGCATTTGCAGTGATGTCAAGTAATATTCCTCATGGTCTGTGTCTCCAGGTCTACTTTTGCTGGACCTCGTATTCTATATTTTTTCTTTCATACAAAAAATAATAATGACTTGCTCGGAACCACACAAGTGGTATGCCCAGTGATGCTAGGAGATAGGAAATAACGTATTACTCTCACCTTTCACATGCTCCAGATGGAGGAAGATTGAGTCCTCGCTGACTGAGTAGCATAGCAATTTAGCCATAAAGGGGATTCCATGTGGAATGATTGTCTGCCTTCCACGGGTTTCTACAAGGGATTTGGGGAGGCTCTGAAAGGGAAAGCAGAACCAGCAGATATAAGATTTGCTATTTAAATATCTTCACACCCTTTTCCAGTGGGCCTGGGAGCCACCATGCTTTTTCCTTGCTAACCTTCCTACTCTAGGATGCTGGTTCTCAATCTTTGGTCCTCCCAGTGTTTTGGACTTCAGCTCTTACAAACCCCAGCCAGCACAGCCAATGGTCAGCGGTTTTGGGAAATTTAAATCCAAAACATCAGGAGGAGCAAATCTTGAAAACTACTGCCCTAGAATACAATGGAAGACAGATCTCCAAAGCTGCTATTCCATAGACAGCACATAATTCTCCTATACCTTTCCCAAATTATTTCCCTGAAGCAGCAAAAGATTTAAAAAATGTGATATCACACAGATTTGATCAGTATTAGTTCTTGGAAAAGTTCCTTCCACTTGTGCTGAAGGAAGAAGGAAACGTCTTTCTATAAGGCCTTTCTTCCTCTAGAATGCCCTCTGCAACCACCTAAGAAAGTGCGTGGGTGGGCTTGGAAGGGGAAACTGGTAATGACCAGTTTCTCTTGCCTCTTCCTCCCAGCCTCCACTGAATCTTTGTGTCTTCCAGCCAAACTATGGAGTTTGCTATCACAAGTTACAGCAACGATGGCCAACTTGAACAGCTTTTAAAGGGACTCTGCAAATTCATGGAGGGTGGAACCAGTGGCTACTAATCATTATAGGCCTCTGAATATATTTCTGAATAGGCCTTTCCTTATGAGTATGAAGAAAACCTCTTTGATGCCATACAACCCACCAAAAAAGTAAAGGAATGTGGATTCAGGGACCTTGCAGTTTAGCATAAGGGAGCTGTCATATAGACAGAGGAAGAGAGATGAGTCCATCTTGTTATTTGCCCTTAAGCTGCATTATAGAAACCCTAATAGGATTTTCAAGCTATGTAAAATATTTAAGGATAGAATATGTTTCTATTCAGAAATATATTTTAGCATTGTCACTCTGCAGTGAGTTTCCATGGCTGAGCAGGGATTTGAACCCCGGGCTCCTACATCCTCATCCAATATTCTGCCCAGTGCACCAAATGGTCTCATACCTTCAGAATAAATGTTCCTCCAGTAGCTGGATCCTCTACGATTTGCACCTGCAAGCAACATAAAAAACACTGATCAGGCTGTTCTCTTATGAACTCACCAATTCTACAAGATCATCTAAAGCAGGGATGGGCAATCTCAGAGGAGACAAGGACAATGTTTCAGATTTGCCAGCAGGCCAAAGACGCAGGGTTAAAGATGGCAAGTTGCATTTTTTAAAAAGTGTTAACACTTTGGCAGTGTACAGTAAAAACGGATGCAAACATGTTTTTACAACTAGAAGGCGCATTTGTTCTATATACTGTACTGTATATAAACAACTATTTAGGAAATATTGGGGTACCATGGATGCTGAGGGCCCCTCACAACATAGAACAGTGCCTCCTAAAGGTCACAAGGGGATGTTCTGAGCCAAACCATTATTTTCTAAAAAATATATTTTTAATTATTTTGTGGTATTTAGGGCATGGAGGGCCTGAGAGTTTGGGGTGCCACAAAAATGGCCCTGGAGGACTAAGTCTGTTGCCCACACCAAACCTAGGAACTCTCCAATCTTTCTCTGCTTCACCCAGCAGCTCTTGAAGATTTGATAAAATAATTCTTGATGTCAGGGACAACCAACATCAGCTGCCCTAAATACTTCAATCTGAATTTTTCCCAAGATTCCAAGCAAATACTTTTTTTAAAAAGGGGGGGATTTATTCATCTGGGTATATGCTCTATTATAGAAAAAATGTAATTTCATCCTAAGACATTTCTCTGGCTGGAGAAAAGTTATCACACACATGAAGTGATGAGAAGGCTCTAGGCAGGCTCCATTTTTAAGATCTAGAATCATGACGTTGGAAGGGGCCTATAAAGCCATTGATTCCTAACCTCTGCTCGATGCAGGAATACAAATCAAAGGATATCTGCCAAGTGTTTGTCTAGATTTCTCTTGAATGCCTCCAGTATTGGAGCACCCACCAACTCTCAAGGTAATCGGTTCCACTGCCATAGTGTTCTAACAGTCAGGACATTTCCCCCAATATTTAACCAAAATCTGACTTCCCGTAACTTGAGCTCATTGTTGCATGTCCTGCACTCTGGGATGATCGAGAACAGATCCTGCCCCTCCTCTGTATGACATCCTTTCAGTATATGAAAAGTGCTATTATATTTCCCCTCAATCTTCTTTTCTCAAAGCTAAACATGCCCAGCTCCTTCAGCCTTTCCTCACAGGGCTTGGTTTCCTTGTTAATCATCCTTGTTGCCTCCTCTGAACTTGTTCCAATTTGTCAGCATCCTTCTTGAAGTGTGGTGTCCCGAACTGGACACAGTTACTCAAGATGAGGCCTAACCAGTGCCGAATAGAGGGGAACTAGTGCCTCGTGGGATCTGGAGACTATAATTCTGTGAATGCAAGCACTTGCCTTGAGCCAATGTCCCATATCTCTTCATTCTTTTTGCTACACATAACATGACTCCTTTCTGGAACACACTCTCTCTACCCCCAAGCTAGATACCTCAGAAGAAGCAAACAGCTTAGTTACCTTATCAATTATTCCCACCACTTTACAGCGCCTCAGGTTCTCAAGCGGGGTGCAGAGTGTCCTGATTGGCCGAAAGCGAAGGCTGCTGTAGCCCTGTCAATAAGAACAATGGAAAGCATTCATTTGACACTATGGAGACAATACTGATATATCAGAGGAGTTCATAGAATGAATTGAGAAGGTACTCTTACTCCTCTAGTAACAACCACTGATTACTCAAGATAGTCTTTAACAATGGTTGTAGGTTGTTCAGGCTGTTTGGCAGTGTTCTGGAGGTTTTTCTTCCTGCACTTGGTCAGCAGCACATTGCAAACCAGGGGCTGGACAGATCTTTGGCACATTCTGGCTGCATTTGAGAATCCCAGCGAAATCCCTGGGTTTCCCCAGGCACGGATGTGCACCCTTTCCCAGACCCCCTACCTCTTATTTCCCCATTCCTTCTGCCTTAAAAGGAATGGGTGTGCATCTGTGCCTGGGGAAACCCAGGGATTTCGCTGGGATCCTCAAATGCAGCCAGAATGTGCCAAAAATCTGCCCAGCTTTGCTGGTTTGCAATATGCTGACCAAGTGCAGGAAGAAAAACCTCCAGAACACGGCCAAACAGCCCGAACAATGTATAACAACCATCAGATCCCGGCCGTGAAAGCCTTCAAGAATAAACAGTATTTAACCTTGGAAAGACAACTGTATCTACACATATAATGAAAACAATGGGGTTTGGAATTTTCAGGTTCTGTGGAAAGTTTCAGCACCTTTTTGCCCATTTAAAGATTTGGCCTGCTAAAAATCTTCCTCTGTGAGCACAGACATGAAGACACCAGCTTCCTCTATGACATTGACATCGCTTTTCAGTTCCCAGGTCTTTTATGTGGAAAACCTCAAAGCCATTCTTAGTCAATAACATGAGTACAAGGAACTGTGAACCAGTACACAACCACAGTATTACATTATTATGTCCAGTGTATGCTTTCATTTTGTTTCTCCAGTCTTACCTCAGAACCTTTGGAAACACATATCTCTTGCTCCCCCTCACCCCCATTATACATGCAGTCTATTATTTTTACAATATCACACCACAGCACTTGCTCTGTGGCAGATGTTCTGTTTCACCCAGATCCAGATCATTGTCACCTGCCAGTGAGGAGCAGCAAACATCTTAGACCTTTAGTGATTAATTAGTAGAAGAGTATTTTTGAGTATTTTGGAGCTGGCAAACTGAAACTGTGCCCACAAATGGGTAATGATTAGCCTTTCAAATGTAGGACTACAACTCACATCATCTTTAATTCTGGCAGCTGCAGTCCAAAAACATCTAGAGGCTACCATTTGCCTCCCCTTGATTTAAAGGAAGATGCTAGTATCATAACAGTAGTAAAATATCTGATTTTATATAATATGGCTTTATGTTTTTAAAGTTCTAGTTTTAAGATGATTTCAAATCTGTTTTCAAAACTTTTTATACATTTCATTGTATATCACTTTGGTGGGCAGGAAAGCAAATAACAAATGCTTTTAATATATAAAAAGGAACATTTTCCAGGCAAATTAATATGTTCTTGCTAGTCATATCGAACTGTGCCCTCCCACTGTAACCCATTGATCATACTCTGAAGGCAGAGGTTAGAAAAGTTGACTTTTTGGACTACAGTTCCCAGAATCCCCCAGCCAGTATGGTCAGTTCCAAAGGTTTCACTGTAAGCCCTGAATCTGGTGTCACCTCGCCAATCAGTTCACCATTTCCGCAAGCCCCCGATTTCTCACCGTTTCAGGGGAATTTCCATCCCCCAGAGTCCGCTGGAGATGGCAGTTGAAAATCTCTTCAGCCCGTTTCAAGTACTGGGTGATCTTCCGCTTCACAGCTTCGCGGCGTTCCTTGTTAGGGTCAACTGTGCAACAGTCATGCATGTTAATCACTCTCAGCCCTCAGATTACATACATGATTCTTCCTGGATCCTCATATTTTCCCAATATTACATCATTATATCCAAAAATTATAGTCAAAAATTTCCAGGCAGGCAACCCAAATTTTGTACCACAAAAAAATGACTATGCAGATGTATCTAATTTTAGATCAGTTATCTCACTCTGTGTCGCCTTTTTCTGGTTTATGCCAGTCATACAGATGTACAACAGCTTCAGCAGAATGAAGCGTGATCATGAAATCCTAGAATCTGAACTGGTATAAAAGAGTTCTACCATTTCAGGCAGTGTGTGTAGATTCACTTTAAAAAAAAAATCTTACGTTAAGAAAAAAACAAATAAAAATTCCCTATGAGTAGAAGAGTGATGCAGCAAGAAAGAGTAAAGCCATTTTCCTGATGTGCTGCTTCATGTTTCTGTCTCATAGGAGGTTTGTTAGTTCTTAAGAGAAAGAAGAAAAATGGTGTCCCCTTATTTGCATCCTGAAATACTGTGGGCCACCAAACCAATATATGCTGCTCCTTGTGTAGTCTGAGCTAAGGAGCTGTGCAGGACCAGAAATCTTATTCAAGATTCCTTTGGCTTCTGAGATTTTACCAATCGTTAGGTAGGACCAAGCGTATCTTTTGCAAACTTAAGGATTAGAACAAAATAGAACCCCAGATTCTTAGGATAAAGAACTCTGCACCCTGTACCACCTTTTCTACTCTGCCCACTCCCACAATAAGCAGCCAGTATAATCAATGGCCAGAGATGATAGAAGCTGTTTTCCAATAAAATCAGTAGCAGGGGTGAGAGGTAGTGGCATAGACCCGCCATGTCTTCTTCAAGGTGCCAGAAGATTCTTTGCTACATTTTAATTTGTCACCAAAAAGAACAAAGCAAACTTGCCAAAGGTGACCACAAAAGCAGCAATTTCAGAAAGTTAGTGGCATGTATCTGGTAGCGTAACACTATATTATTTACCATTATACGTGACTTTATAAATAATATTTTATAGTACGTAATCTTTGCAAAGTGTTATCAGGCTTCCAGAAGGGCAGTCAGTGGCCTTTCTGCATGAGATTCCAGAGACTAGTCAAATTTTTGGAGCAATAGCTGCGTCTGTTTCAGCACCACCAACAGAAACAAACAAACAAAAGTACAGTGGTGCCTCGCAAGACAAACGCCTCACGGGACAAAAAATCCACAAGATGATTTTTTTTGTGATCGCTATGGTGCCTCGCAAAACGGTTTCTTCTACGGCCATGCTTCGCAAGACAATTTTTTTAAAAGACCGATGCCTCGCAAGACGAAAATAAATGCATTCACCTTGCGAGGTTCCCATAGGAATGCATTGCAATGCATTCCTATGGAAACCGCTTTTTGCAAGATGAATTTTTTGCAAGACAGTTCTACTCGCGGAACAAATTACATTTGTCTTGCGAGGCACCACTGTATTGTGGCTTAAACAAATGTATTGTAAATGTACTGATTTCAGCGTATGCTTTCACAGATTACTTACTAGTCTTAAAGGTGGCACAAGATTTCCAGTTTTGTTTCTGATAGAGTTTGGAGAACTTGATGTTGGATTTTTGTTTGGTGGGTTGGTTTCTTTTGGGGGGGGGCACTACAGATAACACAAATCACCAGCCAGTGTTGGAGATTGTGGAAGATGCCGTCCAAAAGAGCTTGAAAAACAGCGGAAGCTTTACTGTGGAGCTTTACAAGCTTTCAAGCCCCACCTCTGCAGGTTTCTCACTCCCTCTCCACCATACCTTGGACTCCATTGAGCAGGACGTCCACACCATTCTTGTAGTGGTTAAAGGCTTCTTCGTAGTCCTCACTGACGTCTCGCTCCAAAGCCAGGCGGATTTGCTTGGCTGCATCCACTAGGTAGTCGCGTTTCCCAGCTCCATGGGTATCAACACCTGCCGGTGCAACCCGGCTTCGAATTTGCTCAAGGTAGACTCGGGCTTGGGAGAAAGCTCGGGTGCAGGACTCAGAATCCATACCCAAAGCTGGTGTTCAGGAGACTCTCTACTTACAAGCAGAACATGCTGAAGAAATCCTTACCAGACCATTTCCTGCAGTGCTTGAGACAAAAACATAATTAAGAAAGATGCAAAGAGAGTGCAACCAGCTGTTCAGGGATCCATCAAAGGCTACGGATCAAAGCCATGAATCAGAACTCAGGCAGTAGGAAGCCTTGGTATTTGCATGACCCTTGTCACCCAGTGAGAGATTGCTTGATTGATTAATTGCACAAGTCTTAATTGATGTATGTTAAATTACAAATTAATGGAAACAAAACAGTTGTACTGAAAAAAAAACATATCTTGTATAAAACCAGGGATTGTGAGCCTGAGCCCCATTCCTAGACTGCTGGATTACAAACCCATAAACCATACTAGCTAGGGTTGATCGGAAGTCAAGAATTCCACGCATGAAGGCCACGGGTTCCCATTCCAGTTTTAAATTAGGCTTGCACAGTTTGCCTTGCAGTAGAAGAAATATCTCCTTCTGTATATGAGAAAGTAGGGAATGCTTCTGCTAAGATGGTACTGAGCAATGCCATCAAGATAGAGGTTGGCAGCACTAGTCCAGGGCCTCAAGCAGCAAAATGATCGAGACAGCCTTTGGCCAGAGGAAGAAGTCCAGCTTGCTACCCTCAGAAGCAAGTGAAGTCATGCTCATTTCCATCTAAATAGCCCAATGAGGCCACTAAGTCCAGAATCTAACATTACTTAACCCGGTGACCACCAGATGTTGGGAATTACAAACCGCATCAGTCCCAAGCAGCATGGCCAAGAGCCTGAAATGCAGTCAGTCCCAGGCCAAAGATCTAAGACTTAACATGAGATGGACAAGCTCAGTAAAGGCACTCACAGCCTTTAGTTTGCAGGACTTGGCCAGGGCTATTATAGGAGGACTGGAGGTTATTAATCCATGAAGTCTCCAGATATCAGAAAGGAACTGAGGCGACTTCTGTTAGTTCTTCAAAACTGTAGGGGGGGGGAAGGTTTCAACCATCTGCATGGAGTTGATTAAAGATGACGTTGAGTTGCAGTGCCTGCCATTTTTGAGGGGAAGAACCGAAACCCTGAGTGGCTATTTCGAGTTCTTTCATTCATGTATGCGGCAAGCAAACAGGAAACCAAACATCAGCTGCTAACGGTAAGGGACCGACCAGCCTGTCTTGGTTTCCGTTGCGGCCTTTCCTGCCTGTTCCTGCCCGGACGAGGCTAGTGCAGGGGGAGAAGGACGGACTGGCAGGTGGGGTGGGCCGAACAGGGGAGGGCACGGGGCGCCTGGCCACCGGATCCATGACGCTGATGCTCGGCTTAAAGCCCTCGTCCTTACCGCGACGAGAGATCGCCTCTTCCCGCAGCGGTACCTTTGGCACAGCCGCGAGAATCGTGACGCGGACTCGCCTGCTGCGGGGTTCCCGGAAGGCTTTCGCTGACTAGACCATCATCCGGTCCGCTACGCCTCAGCATCTCCCTGCGCTGGTCCTATAAATAGATCCACCAAGGAGATGGCTCGTTCTCCCGACCCACCGACCCGCCTTCCGTCCCCTTCCCATCCTGGGGTGAAAAGAACCCAGCAGAGAATGCCAAGGGAAGCAGGTGGACGGACCCCCCCCCCCGCGCGCGGGCCCTCCTCCTGCTCCCGGTCACCCGAGGAAAACGCGCCCCGATCTCAAGCTTCAGATCCCGGGGATGACGTCAATGTGCGTGGGAAGGGGATCTGGCAGGGCACAGGTGGGTCAGGGGGGAGGGGGAGGAAGGAGGGAGCAGCAGGTCCCACAGGCGCGCTAGGCGGGCACCGGTCCGTACCTACGGAAGCCTTTTCATGCAAGGAGGAGGCGGAGGAGAGGGGAGGCGGGCGATGCCAAGCCCGGTCGCCAGCGCCTCTCGCCATCGCAGCGCCGGGACGCCTCTTTCGCCTGCCTAGCGGTCAGGTGGAGGCAGCAATTTGCGAGGTCTCGGCCGCCCACGGATCCCGGCCTTCCGATTGGCTGCGGATGAGCTCATTCCCCGCCGGTCGGTAGAATAAACCACCAATCGCCAGGCTGCCGATTTTCTTAAAAGGGAAATCCTCGAAGGACGAGCCGAGCTGGTAAGAGAGAGGAGGAGGAGGAGGCGCCGTCGAGGCACCGAGCAGGAGGAAGGGAAAAGCGCCAACTGCATGCAGCCTTTAATCAAGCCACAGCGGCATAAAAGGCAGGCAAGAGACGACGGACCCCGAACTGTTCGAGTACAGAGCCATTTTCCTGATGGGCTGCTTCATTTTGCATCAGTTCAAACAATCCAGGGCTTACCTGTAAGCGGTATGAAACAAACCGGGGCTTTGCCATTTTTCATCAAACGACATGTCACCCTTTCTATGTATTCCGTGCTTACATGGGAGCAGTTATATTGTTTGATCTAGAATCAAAGGTATCTGTTTCAGGTAAAGACACTAAGTATTTACCTTCACTGTACCTCGATGGTTTACGCAGCCCCTTTTATTCTGGTTCAATCTATGTACTCAGGACTTCTGGATTTTTATTCCATCATCTGCTGGAAAACTGTGCAGTAGGTCAAGATACATTTTTTCCTATAGCAACAAGCTCCAAAAAAAATTCTGAGAGGAGCACGTTTTTATTTCTGTGTAGCAAGCAAAGTGTGCCTTCTTAGTCACAGGGATGCAGAGTCCCAAATACGTTGGGGGTGATTTCTTGTGATGGCTACATTCAACCACAACCACTTTTTAATAGGCTTCATTGCTTCTAATCCAGCTCTTAGCACAAATTATTCCTAATTATAAGCATATGGCTTTCCTCTCACTGGTTCCTATGGAAAAGTCCCTATTAGAAATGCTAAAATATGCTTAGGCAATACAGCCAATTATTAAGTTGTTGCAAAACTGATCATGACTAGAGATGGGCACGAATTTTTTAAAAAATCAGCAAATTTGTTCAAAAATCCCTAATTCATCTATTATATTTGTACAAATCAATGCCTCAATTAATATGAATCAATAAATGTTTAGCAATTTTTGTTGATTTCTTTGGCTATAAAACAGCCTCCCCCAGGCACCTAGGGACACCAAATTTGTAGGGAAGCTTCCCTTGACTCTCCCCCTACAAGCCCTGCAAGTTTGGTTAAGATTGGGTCTTGGATGCCAGAGCTATATACCCACAAAGAGGGACTCCCTCAGGAAAGTTCTCCCCAAGCACATAGAAACTCCAAAATTACAGAGAAACACCTCCTGACTCTCCTCTAAATCCCTCCAAATTTGGTGAAAGTTGGGTTTCAGACATCCAAGTAATATACCCATAAAGTGGGTCCCCACAGGAAAGTGCCCTTTAACAGCTGGCTTGGGGAAATCTAATATTCACCAAACCTGGAGAGTCAAAGATGCTTGGGGGGCTGTATTATAGAGTTTTAAATAAAAACAAACAATAATAATTCATAATTTGTGATTCGTCGATCTTGACAAATCACGAATCAAAATGAATAACCATTATTCTGATTCATGCCCATATCTAATTCATGACTTTCCCTCATAAAGGATAAATCAAATTGAATGACCATTATTCTGATTCATGCCCATCTCTAATTCATGACTTTCCCTCATAAAGGATGTTTAAGAATTGTTTGTGATTTGGGATAGGAAGGGCAGAATTTGGAGGCAGTCAAACATGCGGACCATGAAAAAAATAGACAAATATGAGATGATGAAAGTAAAGCAGCACAGCAGAGTCAAAATCTGGAAATCGGAGATTGTTAATTTGGAAGTCGATCAAAAGACTATAAAGGGAGACATTCCAAAAATTTTTACTACATCTGACTGCAGCATTGTATAGTATTGAAATAGTGTGCAAAGCTGCAATCCCATGCATAAGAAAACTCAATAAGCCAGTGTAAAAACATAGGCTGAGAAGAACACAGAAGGCAACCAAGAATGCTGAAGCTGGTTAATAGTTCTTAATTTCCAGTTTTAATTTACATATAGCTTAGTTGGAGAAAACTCACTATCTTCAAGATTAATTAATATTTATAATTAAAGTTATAATTATATGTATTACTAATTTTTTTTAACATACTTACAATTTGCTAACTATTTCTAACTAGTTACTTCCAAGTTCTGAGAAACGAGACAACTAAATAAGGGAGAGGAAATGTTTGTAAAGGCTTGATTGTTAACATCCACAAAGGCTTGCCCTTTCCTCATAGATGGCTTTCTTCTTTTAGAGCTATCTAGAAGTCACTTGGTTGCATTGCAGACAAATATTTTATATCACGGCAAACCCAGATCATGTCCTTTCAACTATGTGTAGATAGGCAATGGCTCTAGATGAACATTTGACTTCTCAAATGCCAGTACTTGCCTAGCCCTTGAATAACACCTTTGTACAACAACTGTTGCCAATAGCTGGTCTATATTCTCAAGACAAATATATCATGGCAAACCCAGATCATGTCCTTTCAACTCTCTGATACAGATACCAAAGTGATACCAAAGGGAGGTAGATTGGAATTGGCAGCTGCCATCATCAGTAGAATTCTCTGGCTCCCTCTACCACAAAGTGTCAGCATTCCAGAGCCTTGTCATACTTATTTTCTGATGTACAGAATGATGTCTGCTATTTGCCCAGTTGCAAACAGTGATCATCAAATCACTTGAACACAAGCATACGATGATTGGCACACATTTGTTCTCTCAAACTCTCATCTAATAGCTCACCATCTCTTCCCACTCTGGTTTAATTCATTCAGCCATAATCAAAGCACAAATTACTGCTGTGTGCATCCCCAGAAGCAAAACTCATCAGTTCTTGAAGGATAATTTTCCAGATGGCTAGAGGTGATAATAATATTTTATTTTGACAAATGTATTTGTAATGTTGCTGAACTGCACAGTGTGGAAATGCAGGGACCCAAGTTCCACTGCATCCTGTCAAATTAAAAGAAATCAACATAGGACCAGGATAAATACCAAGTTGCAAGCTAGTGATTTTGAAATAATAATAATAATAAAACATTCAGTCAGGTCAATGATAAACGATATTCTATATTCAGTAGTGGTCTCTACTAGATATTGGATAGAAAACTTGCAAAGGCAAAGCACATAAAGAAATACTCCATTTCCTGTTTTCAGTAGAAAATTGTAGCAGATGCAAATACTAGAAAAATCAAAGCAAGGCAGTGTATGTCCTACCATGGATAATTGCTATTGATACTTCATATCTTTCATCATTTTCTCCAGAATATCTTGGATACATTAGACTGCATATCCCCTAGATGGGCTCAAAACATACAGAAATACAACATAGGCCCAATCAATGTGAACGGTGGCAACAGCATTTTGGCCCCTCCTCTCCACAGCATGAAAACCTTGCTATGATGGGTTTCTCAGCCCTCTGAAACAGTTTATTAAGGAACACAGGGGGCCAAATCTCTCCCTTCCTGCTTACATCACTGGGAACATCTTGAATAATTGGAAACTGACTGTTGGATACTAGCCATCATCTTTGTGGGTTTTTTAAATGACAATTTCATCTGCCATCTCAGATTTCCTCAATGACAATTCTTGCACATTGCTTTGCAATTATCCAAAACCTTTTTGTTGTTGTTTTACATTTATTGTGGGTTTACCTTTTGTTCCCTATTCCTATGCAAACTGACTTTGGTGCTTGTGCAAATCAGATGCGTTGGTGCTGCTACAGTGGCAAAACTATCCCTGTGCAACATGGCATGGTGCAATGCCATGCAACCCTCTTTAAAGAGACACCGTTCTGTAGAGAGGTGGGTGGGAAGCAGGACACAAATGGATGGGACTGTTTATGTCATGGACATCTTTTCCAACCAACCAAATAGGATCAACAAACCCCTGTCCAACTATTATATTGTGATTTCAACAAAGAGCTATGCAGTGACAAACAGACTTCCCAAACAAAATTCTATTTTGAACAATGATTCTGTGCCCCTTTTAAGAGAAACTTCTTTTTAAAAAGTTGGGGGTATTCAAGGCTCTCTTTTGTAGTTTCCAGAAAATAATTCCTCCAGTCATATAGTTAAGTTTGCAGAAATTATATTTGTACACTAAAGCCTGCAGCAAACTCGGCACAACATATGCAATTCTTCTTCTCTCTGTTTCACGGGCAAAGAGTCTTCATGTGTTGCCTTCCTAATGGGATCTGCTGCCTCTGAATGGAAAGACACTTTCTACACCTTCAGGGATGCTCTTTACTCCATCCAGTTCCCAGTTCCTTGAGGCAAAAAGTCTTCTTAGATGTGGTAGAATTGATGAAGTATTGTTTCTTCAAAAACACAATTCCTTAGCTTAAAGACTGTTCCCAACATACTAGCGTTAGTGAAAAACAAACAAAACTTAGCCCAGGTAGGTGATATTTGGCTCAAACCAGTTTCTGTTTGTTTTGTTTTGGTACTTCAATCTCCAGCCAGGATATAGCATCTAAAGGGAGCGTGTACTTCAGTCATGAGGTGGTTTGAGTTCTGCAGACTAGATCATGCTGTGCCTGCAAATAATTATTCAGGATAATTATATTTTCTAATTCTTCTATTTTAACCTCAGTTTTGCATATGTAATTTTGAAATATTAACTATGTGTAGATAGGCAATGGCTCTAGATGAACATTTGACTTCTCAAATGGCAGTACTTGCCTAGGCCTTGAATAACACCTTTGTACAACAACCGTTGCCAACAGCTGGTCTATATTCTCACAGTGATGTCTGTGCTTCTCCCTTTCTGCTCAGGAATGTTGCCAACAGCTGCTCTATATTCTCACAGTAATGTTTTCTGTGCTTCTCCCTTTCTGCTCAGGAATTGTAAGCAAGCGAGATGCTGTGGCTCCCCCAGAATTCATCAGTCGGAAATGCAGTTGGCTCATGTGTTCAGGAGTGTGGAAGAGGATTGAGTACAAAATGCAGGCATGCTGGCACTGCCCTCTTCTGACAAAGCAGCTGTCTTTCTCAAACAGCACACCTGGAAAAAGAGAGAAAGCAGACGGGGAAATGAGCATAACACCACAAAGATGGCTGAGTCTAATATTAATCATGGAAAGTGGACAGTTAGAAATGTATTTCTTGTTTTCTATGTAACTGGGTTTTTGGTTCTATCAAGGAGGGAAAGGCAGAAGAAATTCACAACTCTTCAACAGGTGGCAGCAGGAGCTATGGAAGCACTTCGTGCCTCTCTGAAGCTGTGGACAGAACACACCAGTGGCTGCTGTCACATAGAGAAAGTATGGTGTAGAACAACGTATAACTCCTCAAGATATATGCAGCTTCCAGAGATGGAGAAAAGTTCACAGCCACTGTCCCATGGCCTCAGGAGGCTCTGGACATCTCCCACAGGCCACTGAAGAGGCCTCTTACTGAAATGAAGGTGAGGGAGGAGCAGTGCATGGTAGAAAGATAAGGCAGGCAACTCTGTTGCTTTCAAGGGAAAAGATTAAAATCTCACTGCCTCTACCCAAGTCCTACATGCATCTAAATTGGCTGTTTTTGGTCCTGGTTCTGATGCCTTAAGCTCTGCACGTAAACCAACCTCCCTCAGCTTAGTGCCCTGCAAGTAACTTCAACTATATCTCCCATCATCTCCAACCAACCAAAACTCTGCTGACTACGATGATAAGAGTTGTAGTCCAAATACATCTAGGAGACTGGAAAAACAAGACAATTGCTGGAAAATGTACTCTAGTGCAGGCCCCCCCCAACCTTTTTCACCCCGCGGACCAGATGGGGAAGGCAGGGCACCCCTGTACTTGTGTGCATGCATGAACGAGAAATGGCGGCACAGCATGGCACTCGCACGGGGATGCTGGAGTGTGCACACATGTGCAAATCAGCTGTGCTGGGGTGAGTGCATGCGTGGGTGGGAGGGAGGTCTGTCTCCGTGGCCCAGTCTGGCTCAGGCTATGAACCGGCACTGGGCTGTGGACCGGGGGTTGGGGACCACTGCTCTAGTGCACCCATCCATTTCACACATTTCCATATGGCACATTTCCTTTGTTTCAGAAAAACAAGGGTCACAGACAGCAAGAGAGGTTACTTACCGTCACTCTGGTTCTTCGAGTGATCATCTATGAATTCACACTGAAGTGCAGACTAAACCCATTAGTGTGCATTCACAGAGACCACAAAGAAGAATACTGTTTTTTGTTTGTTTTTGAAAGAGCCTTTAAGCTGGAAATGCAAAATTGAATGCCCCGCTATGTAAATGCACAGAAATACTGCATATTAGACAGGTCCAATAAACTCAAATGGAGCTCTTGCTACATTCATCTCTCCAGATCCTTTCCATTATTCTCCCTTTTCTTGTAGATGATTTCCCTAATCTGTTCAAATAAATAGCCATTTCACTTTTTCCTCCTGAAAGGCCAACATTTAACTTCTAGACAACAAAAGCAAACAAACCATTTGAGCTGCTGATATTTGTTCCTATGTTTTATCTCAATTTTTTAGGTGCTATATGGAATGAAGTTTTTGTGACAAGCTTTAAAACCATTTTTGGCAAGCAAAATGCATTTTAATTAGAGGTGCAATCTTGAAGTGGTTAGTCTGTACAGCCGGTCAACAAAAATCTTAGTACGGTCAATCCTCGACTTACGAATGTCCCTTTACGAACTTTTCCATTTACGAAAGGCTCTGTTAGCAAAAATTGGCATCAATTTGTGAACGGAGCCTCGACCTACGAATGAGGTTGAGGCTCCGTTCGCAAGTCAACGCCATTTTTTGCGAATGGAGCTGCTCATCGCCTTCAAAGGTCTCAAAGGGCTTTCCCCCCAACATCCAGGAAGCTCTTCGGAGGTCTCAAACCGCTTCCTCTGATGTCGGTGGGAAAGCCCTTTGAGACCACCAAAGGTGCCACTCGCAGCGGCAGGGACCTCCAGGGAGGTCTCCCATGGTGGCAGGCAAGGCTTGAGCTGGCCGGGTGCTTGGCCGCTCACCCCCAGCCACAGCGGAGGCAGCGGAGTGCCGGGAGGCTTGAGCTGGCTGGGTTTCTTCAACTGCTCACCTCCTGATTGCTCCTTGCTGCCCTCTGCCATTTGAATTTCCTACCATTGGCCCACGGAGGGTGGCGCGGAGCAAGTGGAAGGCGAGTTGGGAAGCGAGCAGCCAAAAAAACCTGGCCAAGCTCAAGCCTCCCAGTGGCGGCGGTTGTGATGAGATGGGTTTTTAAGTTAAAATCTTTTAAGGCATATGGGTTTTGTAATTAAGAAATAAGCCAGAGAGGTTCCATTTTGTTTCTTTGTATATAGTATCTGTGCTATGCTGGCAAGTTGTTTTCTAGGCGAGCAGAGAGAATGTTATTCTGAAGGCCTGAGAAGGACTCTGTGTGATTAGATAGATGGGAATTGTTGTGACTCTTTGATAAACCACAGAAAACCCAAATAACATCTGGTGCGTATGGGAAGGAAGTCATGTGATGTAACAGGACTGTTTGCCTAGTAACGAACTCTGATTGGATGACATCGTGGGAAGGTGC